TCTGTTCTCTAGAATTATGTCACCACTCCATTGTCTGTCAGATGTGATCTAGGCTTCAGCTATCCATTTCATGTACATTTCTTTGAGCATAGCATTTACTTTTCCCCACTCTCAGATCTGACTTTCGGAACCGGAATGCACGTTCCAAGTGGGAGTTGCCAGCGATTTGCGAGGATTTTGCTAGAAGGAATGTGAAATGTTAGTTTACAAAAAGATAACTTGGCTATTAAAACCAACAGCCCCTTTAAAAGCAAACACCCTATTAAAATATAGGAACAGTTTATAGTGTAAATAAAATTGAAGCTATGGATTATTTAAAGATAAAAGATTTTAGGACCGAGTGATGATGAGATAAAAATATATTTAATTGAGCCATGTTCCCCCCCTCCCCACACACCTCCTTCCTAAAGTGAAGTTCAAAGAAGACACTCAGAGGAAGACGTTAAAATCTATTTTGCTTCTACAGCTGCATAATTGTGATTTGGCTTTTATTTTCCAATCTGAATCGGATTTCTGCAGAGAGAGAGGGAGAGAGGGCGAGATGTGCTTAAGCTCATAAATGGCAGAATTTATCTTGCTTGTGAATCTATACAGTGGGAACGAGAGGAAGACGTTCCCTTCAAGATCCATCTCCCGAGCTGAGTGACAGACGCAATAATTCCTTCTATTAGTCAGATCCATTGTCTTTATTTTGCATGGAGCACTACTGCGTTACTGAGGTAGACTTCCACGGCAATGCATATTTTAAGGGTTATTTGGCAACACAAGTAAAGCTAAAAGTAGCCTCTTAATCTAATTAATTGACATTTCTGAATTGTGCTTTCACAACAACACATGGTTTCATGTTCTGGGTTTTAGCACTTGTCAAGCTTTTTCGGAGAATGTTTTGGTCAGGATGACAAGATAATTCATGACTGAGGCTCTGAGCTGGAGAAGTGTTTAAGGCTATAATGATTTATTATCATCACAGAATAACAAAATTTACAAAGCACTTGATCGGAAATTTTTTGGGGGGATAAGTTTTCCAGCACAGTAGAAAAAAAAAACACAGGAAATGGTGCAGCAGAGGCACATTGAGTGAGGGGGCAACGAAGGTGCATGTGTGGGTGGACCGATAATTTATTTATTTATATGAGAATATTTATAGCCCCCTACCTTTTCGGTAGTGTGAGCAAAATCCACCAGGAGGCTTCCAGATTAAAACATCATAAAACATAGAGCATCATAAAGTACATTAAGACAATAAAGCAGCAGACAGCAACATTAAACCAAAATCAAATAGCAATAAAACTGCATAACAGTCCAATTCAATACCGGCGGTAACTAAAAGCCAGCAGCACTATCTATTTTTATTATATATTTTTTTAAAAAAAAATGTGGGCAGAAATATAACCATTTTTAAATGGCCCCTAAAATGCAGCACAGGTGGCACCAGGCAAACACCTCTAGAAAGGGAATTCTGCAGGTGAGGGGCCACCACAGAGAAGCACCTGTGCCCAACAGCTGCCTGCCTCACTTCCCATGGTAGAGGCCCAATCAAGAAATAGCCTTGAAAACAAAGAATGACCTTGCAAACAAATATGTATGACTGCAATGGGGGGGGGACCATTAAAAGTACCTGTATGTTAATCATAGATTTATAGAATTGTTGTAGTTCTGTGGTTGTGCAACACTGGACTAAAAATCCAGGTCAACTTTCCAATGCTTCTATTGCATCCAGTGTATTTCCAGAAAAATTCCAACATTTTAGTACTTAGAATCATAGAATTATAAAGTTGGAAGGGACTCCTGGTCCACTCCCTGCAATGCAGGAATCACAGCTAAAGAAGCTAATCTTTAGCTAATCACAGCTAAAGATGCTAAAGAGGCTATCCAACCTCTGCTTTAAAACTTTCAATGAAGGAGAGTCCATTACCTTTCAAGGGAGCCCATTCCACTGTTGAACAGCTCTTACCATCAGAAAGTTATTCCTAAGGTTTAGTTGGAATCTCCTGTCATTTGAATCCATTGGTTCAGGTCCTATCCTCTGGAGCAGCAGAAAGCAAGCTTGCTCTATCTTGCATGTGACAGCCCTACAGGTATTTGAAGAGGGCTTGAGTTAGGGCTGAGCTACACATTCCACAGAACAAATTTGGATGGTAGCTTGAGAGGAGGCAGAATTCTGGTCTGTAACACCATCACTCCATGGGGCGGAGGGAACCTACTTTTGAATCCCCCCCAAGCACACCTTGTGTCAGTCAAGTTGTACATTACAGAGATGGATATCCCACCATGGGGCCATGTTTGGGAGGTCAGAGCATTCATTGTATGCCGAAAACAAAATGGTGCCAACTATTTGTGGTCTTCGTCATGATAGTGATGGGGAAGTCACTCATATCTTGACACGGGGGAGAAATTAATTGCAATTTGTCTTTAAAGGCAAAGCTACCTGGTTTGTACTTTCTGAAACAATTACAAGAAGCAAAACACAGCCATCCTATGAAATTTTCACTTCTCCGAAAATTCAGTTCTCCAACCTTGCAATATGTACAAAAGTGTATATGCGAAGCTAAAACATTTATTAAACTTCAAATATTGGGGGGGGGGGGTATTTTGCACTCTGCACTAGGTATTCTATAATCTGTATAATTGGATCTTGTTATTTACTTAAAGTTGTTCTGTTCAGTTGAAATCAATAAAAATGATTTTTAAAATAACATACGCTGTTTTAAGGGACCCTATGTTATTTTATGGGAATTTGCTTTGCAAAAATGTGTTTATTAGGTCAAAATACATACAGATGTGCATATTAGGAGAAATTCAGATTAAAGCGGTGCTGAGTTTTCATAAGGACTTTAAAAAGTTGTAGAAATGTGGAGAACTGAACTTCAGATTGGGAAACGAGAAACTAAGTGAAACTAAAAATGATAGATTTGTCCATTCCAACTTGCATCCAAACATCAGAAAAGGGATCCCTCATCATCTCTCCGCCCTACCACAGAAAATGGCAATAAATGCAACCTAGGGTTGAAGGCACACAAGGTCATCTTGCTGAAGCAAAGGAGGTCTAGGTCTAGTCCAGGGGTCAGCAAGGTTTACGGATCATTCCCACGGAGATTGTCCGTGGGCTGGACTGGCACAGCGTGCCGCCGGAAATCACTTCTGCGCATGCCCAGATGCCGGAAATTGCTCCTGCGCAGAAGCGATTTTTGGCGTCTGGACATGCGCAGACGCCGTTTTCCAGTATCTGTGCTTGTGTAGACGCAATTTCTGGCACCGCTCAGTGAGTCCCCACACCACGCTGCGCCGGTTTAGCACAGCACACTCACTGAAAGTGTGGCTTGGTTTGGGGGCAGCTTGTGGGCCGGTAAAACAGTCTTCATGGGTTGCATTCGGCCCTTGGGCCACATGTTCCCAACCCCTGGTCTAGTTGGTGCCTGGATAGAATTTCAGGGACTATGGGAATGCAAAGCGCCTTGGGTTCTATGATGGACGAAAGGAGGCATAAAAAATAGAAGAAAACCAATTCATCCATCAATCCATCCAGTAGAATTCCTTTATTTTTTAAGATAGTGAAGTGAGGTAGGAGCAAGGATTCTGAAAAAAAGAAGTCCATGTCTTCTGTTGCACTCCGAAACATAACAGAGATTACAAGCCCCTTAACAAAATATATAAACGTGCTGACATTTGCAGACTCTCTGTGTATTACCACGCAAAGGAATCATGCAACATCACTCCTTAATTCACTTCATCTTTATTCCTCGTGACAGGGCCAGACTCTCTGAGACAAAATGTCTGACTTGGAATGCATTTGTACTTATTCTCTCTGTGCTTCCATAATTTGCTTATTATGTAATTAAAGAGCTAGAAACCTGGGGCACTGGTTAGTCTGAGATGAAGTTTTGACAGTTATTTCAGCGCTCAGTAGAGAAGTCACTCTGACTGTGTGACGATGTCGCTGCCCTGAAGTCTTTCTCTCTCCCCTCCTCCCATTTTTTAGCTGTTGTGTGACAACTATTCAATGCAGACCTCCATGGAACACAAAAGTGTTATGGTGAGATGATGAAGGATGGAACAAGCTTGTCTTCTGCGGCTCCAAAGGGGAGGACCTGAGCCAAAGGATTCAAATGACAAGACAGGAGATTCCGGCTGAACATTAGTAAGAACTTTCATGATGGTAAGAACTGTTTGACAGTGGAATGGACTCCCTTGGAAGGTGGTAGATTCTCCTTCATTGGATGTTTTTAAACAGAGGGTGGATGGCCATTTGTCAGGGATTCTTTAGTTGTGATTCCTGCATTGCCAGGAGTTAGACTAGTTGACTGTTGGGATCCCATCCAACTCCACAATTTTATGGTTCTATGTAGTTTGGACAGTGATAGCAGAAGATCTGTGGTTTTACAATACTCCGACAATGTTGGAAGGGGCTGTTTTAAATTATGAAAATGCTGATGTTTTATATGACTTTCTCATTTATATCTTTTAATTTTATGGTATAAAGAATTTATGGTGTTGGGTTTTTTTAAAAAAAGTAAGTCACCTGGAGACCTTCTTAGATAACAAGTAACCAATTAATAATGATCATAATCATACCACAATCCTATGTATCCTATGTATCTTTCAGAAGTCAAACACAGGGGCCAAACCTATATCTATCTATCTATCTATCTATCTATCTATCTATCTATCTATCTATCTTGTTCAACCACCATAGAAGACTCTCTTCCACTTCTTCTTCTGCATTTCAGAGCTACTTTGTGCTAGGAAGGCAGAAGAAACTCAGGTGGGTTTGCAGAACTTGGACCAGAAATTCTTTAACCATGTGCAATGCTGCTCTACTCAGTCCTGTGCAGCCTCATACTAGCTTAGAGGAGCCTTTTCAGGAAGCCAGAAAGAGCAAGGAACATAAGAAACTTTCTTATAACAAGTCATACCCACTGGAACATCTAGCTTTGCTGATGTACTGACCACCAGTGGATCTCCAAGGTTTCAGACTGGTACGTGTCTTTCCCAGTGCTGCCTAGAGACACCAAGGATTGAACCTGGGACCTTCTGCATGCAAAGTAGATGCTCTAACATGGAGCCATGGCCTTCCTGTGTTTGGTGAGGCCATGGTCAGTTAAGGAGTAGCTCAACACTTTGCCCTAGTTCCTCAACACACATCTGAGAACTAGGCTGCAAGCTTTCCACAGGCTTCCTCTATCTTCCAAAGGGCACAGTTTCCAGCTAGGTGTTGAAACCCCTCAGAATTTAGGCCTTGAGGACATGCGTTTCCTTTTGGATTTTGTTCCATACCTTAAAGCCCTTGCCTAGGGAGTACTGCCTGGGGGGGGGGAGCAACAGTGCAACATATTTGCATCAAAGCTAGGCCTTACCAGATGAACCTTGAGAAGGCCTCAACCTCTTCTGTGCACTGATCCTGCAAGGATGCATCAAAGCTTCTGGGAAGGGCTGTGACAACTTGTCATTTGCTAAAGTCCCTAAACATGCACACAGTACACAGACAAACACACACACAATCCTTCCATTATTTTCATACCATGTATTGATGGTATACGTTCAATTTGGCTCTGAGGAATCAGAGGCTACTCCAATGGGTTAGTGAACATTGTGCAAAAGGGTCACCAGCATGGGGAAAGTAGTCCCAAAGCCAGCTCCTATGCACCAGTGCTTCGCGATAGCACTGCTTAAGACTGGCTTGATGATCAGAAGGCACATGAGAATCTGTAGTGTCCAGATTTGGAAGAGGGTCTACCTTAGAGTGAACACAAATTTATTTATTTTAATCTTTTGTCGACATCTCTAGAGCGCTACAATTTGTGTTGTCCACACGCTTCCCTATAATTAAGAGCTGATCATTTGCTTGCACTGATTTTTATCTTCCTGTTGGTTTCAGTTAGATCCCTCTAGATGAAGAGAAGCAGCATGGAAATATTGAGGGCTCAAAAGGAGCCTGACTCTGAACATTTTAAAGAGAGTGTTAGGGGAAAGCCTTGAATGTCGTCAAAGCTCGACAGCAGATCAGCCGTCAGCTCAGAATGTGACGGACCCATGTAAAGAGTCGGACAGGTTCATTCTGTGCCAGGCGGATCTCTCCATACAGCCCCCGAGTCAGTCTTGAGCAGAGTGTGTTGTCAAGGATAAGTCTGGTAGTGACACTTGCGTCAATCTCCAGGACTGAGTCAGGATCTGTGATGAAGGGGACACAATCTCTTAAGTCAGCTGAAGATAGACAAGTGGATATGAATCCTGTAAGGACCTCAGACTGTAAGTTCCTTGACAGTTGCCAGAGAAGGAAACTCTTCATGAGAGAGTTGCCAGCAGAGCCTGTACTGCTTTCTTTCAAGATGGCACTCCCATCAAGTTGTTATAAGGATAGTTATACTGGAGGTTTGCTAAATCAGATGATTGCTACAACCCATTTTGATCCAGTTGTCATCAACAGCTTGAACTAGGCAGTCTTTTTTAGACTCAAACGTTTTGCAGGTTCTTCTGTTCTCTCTATTTTCGGGGTGGAGAACTTCAGGCCCAAGGGCTGAATGTGGTCCCCAAACCCCTCTTTCTGGCCCTTAAAATCCTTCCAAGGCCACATCCTGTCTCCACACACACACACACACACACACACACACACACTTGCTTCCTAGACCACACTCCCAACCAGCCTTGGCTTCTATCCTCCTTGGCTGCATCCACACAGCACTTAATTCCATTTCCGCCGATGTTTCCTGAACAGTTGACTTCCGCATAATATTTGAGCTTCCACATAACATAAAAGCCACTCCCAGAAATATAGTGGAATTCAGTGCAAGCACCTGTTTCCATGTGCTTTGCTTCCAGAAAAAATCCATTTGCAAATTGCATGAAAATTTCCTATGTTCCTATTGCTCACTTGCTAACTACAGTGGTACCTCTGGTTACGAATGCTTCTGGTTACGAACACTTCAGGTTATGAGTTCTGCTAACCCAGAAATAGCTCCTCCTGGTTGCAAACTTTGCCCCAGGATGTGAACGAAAATTGTGCGCTAGAGGCACATGCACAGGGGGAGACCCCATTATTGAAAGCGCGCCTCAGGATAAGAATGGTTTCAGCTTAAGAACGGACCTCTGGAATGAATTAAGTTCGTAACCAGTAGTACCACTGTAGTGGTTTTGTGCCCTTTTTGTTGTTGTTGCAGAATATGACAGGCATGAGATACGGAGGTTCCAAACCGAAGGTTAGATCAGAGCCCACGGGAGTCACCTGCCTTCCTGACAATAAGAAACCACAGGGCTCTTGTGCTCAGTTCCTGCTTGTGAGTTTCCCATATGGAGATTTGGCCAGCCACTGTGAGAACAGGATGCTAGTCTTGGTGAGGCAGTGGTCCGCTTCAGCAGGGCTCTTCTTTTGTTTTATGCTAATTGCCTCCAGTTACAAATGCTGGATTGGAGCCAACATTGTGTTGTACCTATCAATTCATTGACAAAAGCTCCCATTAATAAATGAGCAAATTGTTTCCCCCCTCATCGAAGTGGGTTAATGCATTCTCTCAGAGCCCTGCGTGCCCACCTTTTATATTTCACGACAAACAGCAAATCACTCTTTTGTTCAAACACTTTATTTATCGGCTTGGGATCTTGGTTATACTTGACACTGTGTATTTAAATTTGCCACAAACAAGAGAGGGAGGAATCAGCAGAGCGCTCCGTGGAGAGTTCCCATGAGCCAGAAGATATGTAGCACACCGAAGATTGATTCCATCGCACTTCGATTAGCTGGAGAATTGTGGTGCGCTTAACTAACTTGCAGGGTGATCTGGGGGAAGCAGGCTCTCTGAGTGTAATTAAATGATAAGTTCACATTCAAGGGACAATTGTAAGTTACAGGGGCTGTCATACACAATGCCAAAAATAGGCTGTCTCGTGATGGATACCCTTATTAACAGCTACACGTCTCTCTCCTTGTAGGATGTGGCTGTGGAACTCCGCAAGGGCTTAGGCCTCTTTGATGCCAACATCCCTGCAGATTTTTTTTTAAAATAAAAGATACATACAAAAGAAAACTAAACAGAAAGCAAAATAAAACTGTTAGCCCACATAGGCATCATTATTCATTATAGGGGAATGGCCTTTTTTTAAAAAAAAAAAATCTCTGATGCCCAACTATTTCCAGGCAGAGTTGGGAGAGAACCATACCTGAAACCCTAGAGAGGCCACTGCCAATCAGTGTAGATAATATTGAGCTAGACGGCCATTAATTTGACTCAGTATGAGGCAGTTTGCCATGTTCTCATATTCTACTTCACTCAATATAACTGGAAATCTGTGTCTTAAATAACCAATGCTGGGATGCTTTTAAGAGCGAGAAGATCAGCTGGTCTGCATCACAGACCAAGCACCACAGAGTTCATTTGGACCACACATTTTGGCCATGGAGGCCAACAGCGGGAACTCACACTTGTCAGGCCTTTACACAAGTCCCTTTGTTGCCATGGAGACAAGGAAGCTGGGTAGCTCTCTTAGTGGCTGCTTACCAGGAAGTGATGTGACTGAAGGTTAACCAGGATGGAAGGTTCAAAGGGTGAAGAGCAGGGCTGGAAGCTTGAGAAGCAGGAGGTGATGAAAGGAGTTTTGGGAAGGGGAGGTTGGTCAGATAAGAGTAAAGAGGCTGAGTCTCAAAGGCTTTAATGGCTAGGGGTTGGTAATGGAGTCCCATACCATTTAGAGGGCTACATGTTGCTCATTCCTGACCTACAAAGATCAGAGGGGTCAGTGGACATGATCAACCTTCTGCCTGGGATCACCACCTGAAGAAATACATCCCTTGGAGATGCTGCAGTTTCAGGGGCACCAGTGCATCCTGACTGGTCCCACCCTCTTAGCTTCAAACCTTCCTGGACCATCCCGGGACCCCAGAAGCCATGGCAGTGGCCTCTCTGAGGAGAAGCCTAGAACTAAAGGCAGCACAAGGTTGCTCATCCCTGACTGCGACTCAGAAAGGGGAAAACAGACGCTGCACATAGTCTGGATTGGGTCCCTACTGACACTTCAGGAAGGTATGGGGAAGCAGGAATGGCTATAAAGCTACTTTGTTGAGGCCTACCAGTTGCTGGAGCAACACCTAGGCTTGCCATATTTCAAAAAGTAAAAATCTGGACACCCCCAAAATTGTTGAGCTTTTTAAAGGAAAACACCAAAATTGCTGAGCTTTATTTTTAGGAAAAAGCCGCAACTGACCCCGCATGGGGAGGCCCGCCATCATCGTTAACCCTTCTGTGTAATAACGCAGCAGTCATAACTAGTGCCCCTCATTCCCCTAGAGACCAATGCCCACCCTGGATGGCCTGCCTGCCTGCTTCCCTTGGCAGGCACCTCTGGCCATTACTGACCCACTCTCCCTTCCTGCTGCTGCCCGCAAGGAGCCTGCCCAGCCTCCTGCAACCATAGAGTTACCTCAGGCCAAGAGTGGAGGGTGGGGGGAGCCTATTCTGCTAGGACTACAGGCCACCCAACCTCCCTGGATCACAGAGTTCATGGAAATTGAAAGCGATGCTCTCGCTTCTGGTTTCCGGACTAACACACAGAGAGACATACACACTTGCACACGAACCCATGTTGCCTCCCTTTTGGCTGCAGGAGATGGGGGAGCTGTTGGGCAGGAGCGCTTGCACCTTGTGGCCAGGAGGGCAGGCTCAGAGGTGTGGGAAAGGTGTCCCAGGTGCTGGCACTGTGTCACCACCATGTGCCGAAGTGCCACTGCTGCCTGGCACACCATTCGTGCCTCGGAGAAGAGATTCCCCACTGGGGCAGCCCCACATGGCTAAGCAAGGGAGGCAATGGCCAGCACCAACAGCAGTGGCGTCATGGGTGGCTGGAGCCCTCACCATACACCCTGCAAAAAAGCCCCAGGAAAGCCCCCAGAAAAAATCCCCCCGACACATTTTAGGCATCTGATTTCCATACATTTTTGAATTTTTCCGGACATATGGCAAGCCTGGGCCAACACCCTTTCTTGCTTTTTTTGGTGACTTCATTGCTGGACAGCTCCCCCTTGTATCTGAGACACCTTGGAGCTTCACCTGTTGGACAGCTCCCCAGCCTTCCTTAGATGGACAGGACTCTGAGCTGCACAGCTGTGGTGGCAGGAATATGACAGCCTAGCCTTAGCCCATGGGTAGGCAAACGAAGGCCCGGGGGCTGGATCTGGCCCAATCGCCTTCTAAATCTGGCCCACAGACGGTCCGGGAATCAGCGTGTTTTTACATGAGTAGAATGTGTCCTTTTATTTAAAATGCATCTCTGGGTTATTTGTGGGACACAGGAATTCATTCATTTCCCCCCCCCCAATATATTCCAGCCCCCCACAAGGTGGACTGGCCCCCTGCTGAAAAAGTTTGCTGACCCCTGGCCTAGCCCACTGAACTTGAGCACCACTTTTGCAACTGGTTTTCAAAATAACTACTTTTTGGGGAGGAAATCAAGGTTAATGATGAACGCACCAGTATTTTATTATTTCGTAAAATTTATGCACTACTTGGTTGGTTAACTTCAAAGCAGTTAACAGAAAAGATGAAACAGTTATCAATACGAAAAAACAACAACAATAATTTATAACTTTCAAAAATTTAAAACAACAATAGACTAAAAACAGATGTAAAACTTGCATCAACTTTGTAAACACCTGGATAGGCTTCTCTAACCAAAAATGTTTTCGGTGGGCACCAAAAATGGCCCAGTAAAGGCACCTGCCTGATATTAATAGGCAGGGAGTTCCAAAGTGTGGGTGCTGCCACACTAAGAGATCAAGTTCTTATAGGTGCAGAATGGGTATTATGTAGCAAATGTAACAGTGCCCAGTCCACCGATTGAAGCAGTTGAATGGGTAAGGCGATCTTGTAGATAAACTGGTCCCAAGTTGTTAAGAGTTTTGTATAGTTATAGCAGCACCTTGAACTTGGCCCGGTAGCAAATTTGCCATGGATGCAGATCTTTGAGCACAGGTGCTATACGCTGACAAGGCCTCACGTCTGTTAGCAATTTTGCACTATAACTTCAGTTTCCAGATGAAGCATGAGGAAACAGATAAACACTCATGCACCATTGAAGCAACAACAATAACTTTTGCAGGCCACTGAAAGCCTCAGAAATTGGGCAAGGCTGTTGCCTGAATGGATAGTTTGGTTCACTGGCATGTACCTATGCTGTATAATCTACAAAAGATGGGCTCACATGATGGTCAAAGGACTTGCTGTGCTAGTCTTTTCGCATCATGCTCTTCTTTGCCCTGCTTTCTGTAAAACCCACCATCTTTACACACTCCTAAAAGGTGAAATTTTGGGAAGGAATTGCTTTTCCACACCATTTCTGCAGACCCTTCTATTTTGAGCATGCACAGTTGAAATAAATTGGATTGCCATCCTTCACCCGGGACATACAATACTTGTAGGTTTTGCAAGCCAGCAAGAAGTCATTAATCTATGGCTTTCTACTAAGATGACAGTGATTTTTTTTAGATTCAGAGCTCCAGTGGAATATGAATCACAATTGGATGCTGCTGGATAGCTGTCCCAGAAGCTCTGTGATGATCTGTGATGGATCTATAAGACAATAGTTGCAGGGCACTTTTGTATATTGTTAATATGATGCATGATGACGTGGCCAATTATAGCAGGCAAATGTTCAAACAGCATGTCACAACCTGTGTATCAATAGATTAAATCTCTTTTGCCAACAAACAAGTGAAAGGGAGAATACCCTCAACAGCGAACTGTCATTGCAGACAGAAGGTCAGCTGGAATCCACACAACTTCTGCTCCTGGCCCACACCACTGCAACATTATATGCAGAATTTAAGCTCACCTGTTATCGTGAGGTTAATACGGCACATTTGGGAAATAAACCTGAGGACCACGATTCAGTGGTAGAGCATCTGCTTTGCATGCAGAAAGTCCAGGTTGAATCCTCGGTATCACAAGGTAGGACTGGAAGAGACCCCTGGTTTGAAATCTTGGAGAGCTGCTACCAGTCAGTGTGGACAATACTGAGTTAGAGCTACATCAGTATAAGGCAGCTTCCTATGCTCCTGTTCACACACACAGACACACGAGCCGTCAGTGCTGAAGACTGTCCACCTCTGCATAGGAATGTAAGAAGGCTTCATTTCTGTTCTGCCCAGTGTTCATCACTTGTAGTGCTGTTTCCATTCTGCTGCAGTTCATATTCCACCCAAAACTGTTATTCATCTCACTGCCTGCCCTGGCAAAATTATGTAGCTTATGTCTTGGAGAGTTGCCTTCAGTCAGAGTACACAATACTGAGCTAGTCTGACTCTGTATAAGGCAACTTCCTGTATTCCTAATTCATTGTCACTATGCCATTCCGCCCTGTTCATGTCAGTGGAACGGAAATACAATGCAAATAAGGCAAAAGTACATAATCGGCTATGTATCGTTTGCAGAATGAAAGTAACAACAGCCGTGAATACCAAATGTATTCACTGGATTTATTTCCAGTGGACAACGTAAGTGATTTCTGTTCCTGTTTCTATTTTCAACAAAATTACTTGAAATCCCTCCCTCTGCTCTATGTAACATGGGTTAGTGATAAGCAGAAAGGATATTGTGTAGAGTCAGAGAGACAGACAGACAGACAGACAGACAGACAGACAGAGGTTAAACTATGGAACTCGCTGCCACATGAGGCAATAATGGACACAAACCTATATGGCTTTAAAAGAGGATTTGACAAATTAATGAAGGAGAGGGCTACTAATGGTGACTAGTCTGTAGAAGCCATGGGAGGTGGGTGAGAGTCTTCTTGTGCTTAGGTCCTGCTTCCAGGTTTTGGGACGCAGGTGGCACTGTGGTCTAAACCACTGAGCCTCTTGGGCTTGCTGATCAGAAGGTCAGCGGTTCCAATCCCCACAATGGGGTGAGCTCCCGTTGCTCTGTCCCAGCTCCTGCCAACCTAGCAGCTCGAAGGCATGCCAAAAAGTGCAAGTAGATAATTAGGTACCGCTGCGGCGGGAAGGTAAACGACATTTCTGTGTGCTCTGGTTTCTGTCACAGTGTTATGCTGCACCAGAAACAGTTTAGTCATGCTGGCCACATGGCCTGGAAAGCTGTCTGTGGACAAACACTGACTCCCTTGGCCTGAAAGCGAGATGAGCGCCACAATCCCATAGTCGCCTTTGACTGTACTTAACTGTCCAGGGGTCCTTTACCTTTTGTTTCCTTCCAGGTTTCCCATTGAGGCATCTGACTAGGCACTGCAAGAATTAGATGAGCCAGCAGGCCATTTTTTTATTATTATTCTTACGAGGTAAGTTTTCATAAATAAACCAGCTCTCATTTCTCATGCTATGCAATCAAATGCACTAAAGTCCTTTCCTTGAGCCCACATGGCTGCCTCAGAATGAACTCCTTCTGGAATGCTCTGGTCATTGCAAAGGATTTGCAGGCCCTTGACTTTCCAGTGCCGAGCAAGAATAGTTATGAGGCAACATAAGTGGAGAGAGGTAACCTTTCGGCAGAAATGGGCTTGAGTTAGAACGAAAGGATTGAAAAAGAGTACAATGACCAAAAAAATCTATAAAAATGCAATTGCGCTAATATAATTTTATCACTTATTTAAAAATTTAGTCGACCCAAAAGACTACCAAGTGTGAAATTAAGGAACAGCTCCTCTACTTTTATGGAAATCACTCTTCTTCACTTGTCTAATAGCCTGATTTTGTCAGATCATTTATTTCCATGGTTTTAAAATGAGCTTGACAGACAGAATTTTATAACACCACTTTACTGCAAATAAGAACATCATTTTCCCTTATTAAAACTGAAGCTTAGAGAAAGCATTAAAATTAACAGTTCACTCTGCTTTAACCTTTTGAATACTATTGTGACTTTACACTCTAGACCATATTGGAAATGAGAGCCCCGTTATTCTGGGGCAGAGCCTTCAGCGAGTGGAACTGCTAAAGGGGTGGGCAGGCTGAGCCCAGCTGGCTGCAAGTCAGCTAACAGTTCTAAGCCTCCGTGCTGGCTGGTTAAAACAGGGAGGTAACATGAGAACATAAGAAGAACCTGCTGGATCAGGCCAATGGCCAGTCTAGCTCAGCATCCTGTTCCCACAGTGGCCAACTAGACTCACAAGCAGGATTCTATCACAACAGCACCCACCCTCCCCTCCTGCGGTTTCCCGCAACCCCCGCTCAGAAATATTGCTGCCTCCAACCATGGAGGCAGGGCATAGCCATGAATTTGTATCTGATGTAATGGACTGGTCAGGTGCAAAGGAGTGATGGAAGGCACCAGCTGGAGAACCCCCAAGGGAAGAAGGCTCAGAGCCAGGGGGTTGGTGGTGAGATGATGATGAGTGATCAGAGGGAGAAGAGGGAGCAGATCGGGAAGAGGAGGTATTGGAAGCTGAGGAGGAAACAGGGATTAGTGAGCAGGAAGAGCGTTCAGTGAGCAGAGGGAAGAAGAAGAAGAAGAAGAAGAAGAAGAAGAAGAAGAAGAAGAAGAAGAAGAAGTTTGGATTTGATATCCTGCTTTATCACTACCCGAAGGAGTCTCAAAGCGGCTAACATTCTCCTTTCCCTTCCTCCCCCACAACAAACACTCTGTGAGGTGAGTGGGGCTGAGAGACTTCAGAGAAGTGTGACTAGCCCAAGGTCACCCAGCAGCTGCATGTGGAGGAGCGGAGATGCGAACCCAGTTCACCAGATTACAAGTCTACCTCTCTTAACCACTACACCACACTGGCAGAGAGCAGAACCAGAGGCAGAAGAGGAGGCTGCGGGGGGGGGGGCAGAGACAGAGAGAAGAAGAAGAAGAAGAAGAAGAAGAAGAAGAAGAAGAAGAAGAAGAAGAAGAAGAAGAAGAAGAAGAAGAAGAAATTTTATTTATATCCCACCCTCCCCGGGTGGCTAACACCAAATATATACATATACAAATATATATACATATGTATGTGTGTGTGTGTGTGTGTGTGTGTGTGTGCGCACACACACACACACATGCATACATACATATACATATACATATACATATACATATACATATACATATACATATGCATATACAGTACATATATGCATTAAAAACACAAAATCAAACAATTAGTTTAAAATACAATTTGAATCACATTTATAATCAAAAGTGGGAACCCACGAATCATAACCGTAGGGGTAAGGAATTAAAAGTTCACCAGGCCCGGCCACCTGTGCTGGTCCCATATGGGCTGTTAGAAAGAGCCAAGGAGGCCACTTACATACAGGGTCCCATAGAAAGAAGGGGGTCGGACTGGGCCCGGACCAAAGGCCTGGTGGAACAGCTCCGTCTTGCAGGTCCTGCGGAAAGATGTCAGATCCCGCAGGGCCCTGGTCACTTGTGACAGAGCGTTCCACCAGACTGGGGCCAGGGATAAAAAGTTTCTGGCCCTGGTCGAGGTTAGTCTAACCTCCTTGAGGCCCAGTACCTCCATATTATTATTGTTTGTAGACCATAAGGTCCTCCATGGGCCATACCAGGAGAGGCAGTCCCGTAATTACAAGGGTCCTGGATAAGACAGGCTGCTGAAGAAGCCAGGGAGTCTCTCCCTCCTCCTGCAACCAGCTCCCTTCCCCCTTGTCTCCCAGAACCTGAAGAGGTATGAAGAGGGTGGAGCAATGGAGCCTCAGATTGCTTGGGAAGGAACCAGAGGAGGAGGAGCCTTAGGGAGCTGTGGGAAGGCGGGGACCTTCAGTCCTCACAACTGCCTCATAGGGGCAGAGTTGCTGTTCTCACTAGGTCTGGCCTCCTGGTCTGTCTTGTTTCTTTGACTAAAGAGTCAAGTCCACTGAAGCCATGTTAGTTATTGCTGACCTGCTCCTGGCACCCGTCCTTGTCACCAATCCACTTTGAAAGCCATCTTGGTTGGTGGCCATCATTGCCTCCTGTGGGACTATGGACTGCATTAAGAAGAACTTCTTTTTAGCTATCCTGAAATCTTCCAACATCCAGCTTCATTGGATGTCCACAACTTCTAGTGTTATGAGAAATGGTGGGAAACTTTTCTCTCTCTATTTTCTCCATGCCATGCATAATTTTGTAAACTTCTATCATGTTGCCTAATCTCTGAATGAAAAAGGTCCCAAACGCGGCAACTTTCATTCAGGAGAAGTAGAAAGGGAGCATAAGGGACCTGTTGTGATGAGGACCTACTTCCTCAAGGTAATCAAACACAGGCCTTCTCTCGCTCTTGCTCTCCCCACCTCTCTCACAGAAGACTCAGTTCAGAGGGTTCTCCCACATCAGACCACCACCTTTATGAAGCTAAGCAAGTCTGGATCTGGACACTGCCTAGGTAGAGGGCATGCAGGTCCCCTTGAGTCCCATGATGGAAGAAAGGTGGGATAGAAATGTGAGAAAATTAGGAAACAGCTTATTTATTTATTTATTTATTTATTTATTATAAAAATGGCACCTAACCAATTTGCATAAGAGCCTTCTCTGCCCTGCAAATGTCTGTAACATCCCGCTCAGGCAAGTACCTAAAAATGCCCACTCCAATTCAATTTACCTCAGGCAAGCAAACACCACAGTGGCTATTTTACTTATCAAAAGGGTCTATCTTTCTCCTGCGAGCTGCTGTTTATCCCAGGAAAGGGATTCTCTCTCTCTCTCTTTCTTTTTCTTTTGAGTACCAAAAAAACTCCTACTGATTTTTGAGGCCACTGACAGATGATGGATCGTCTCCAATATTGCTGAGTCTAGCTCAATTTTTGAGGTGAAAATCTTCCCTCTGTCTCTTTTTCAAAGAGTAATGACACAAACAGAAGTGCAGCTGGACTCTTCCAACAGTGGTAGATTCACTGGCGGTGGCGTAAATCAAATTTTACCCATGCTTCCACCTCATATTTTTACTTGCCAGCATTGCTCATAACCGCTCGCTCAGGTGGTATTTGGTGGTTGTGTTTTATATGGGGCCAGTAGAAGCGTTTTATGATGGTGGTGAGAGTGTTTGTGGAGTCTCTAGGGAAGAGCTCTGCAAAGGCATGTGGATCCTCTTTTAAGCCGGACATGCAAATCCAGCTGCTTTGGGATGAATGTGTACAGTAGGGGCTCGCTATATAAACTTCAATGTTGTTGTTAGCATCACATTGCCAACACACTTTAAAGAACACTTAGAACACAGCATTGTGGAGAAAAGGGTTATATTTATTAAATACAACATCTTAGAGGATCCGCAAATTGAAGTAGCCAATCAAAATACAGCCAGGGCAGGAAGTTCCCTTAAGACAGGAACAACCAGGTCACTCCCCTCTCCTGAGCATGTTTACAGATGATGCCTGTGGCCTTGGAGAAAAGGATTTGAAGGAATACTTCCTGCTTGCTTTGGATAACTTGATCATGTGACTTGATAAGTGCGTTGTGGCCCTGCTGGCTCGATGTGCACCCCAACATGCCTGCCAAACCCAGAGGGCACCCCAAATGACCTCACACAAGGTGACCAGAGTGTCTCAGTTATTTACCCCACTATCTCTTGAGTTGATTTAGTTGCCTGGACTGACAGCCAATTAAAGCAATAAAACACAACATCATTCCAACAAATTACTTCCAACAGTATGAAGCAGGTGAAAAAGAGGAGTCCCAAGGCCAGTTAGGGGTTCCCTACAAAATCCCTGCTTGGCTCCCAAAGGGGGTACTAACCAAAACCCATACTGCATAGGGAGTGTGCTCTGAAGAGAAGACTGGAGTGTTTGGAGAGGAGCAAGCCTGACAAAGGTGTTCTCTCAAATCCACTAGAACGTGTGGGACAACCAATGAAGCTGAATGTTGTAAGATTCAAGGCAGAGAACAGAAAGTCCTTCTTCACCCAGTGCATAGTTAAACTAGGAAACACCTTCCCACAGGAGACAGTAATGGCCACCAACTTGGATGGCTTTAAAAGAGGATTGGACAAATTGGACTATGGTCTATTGATGGCTATTAGTCATGATGGCTGTGCTCTGCCCTCCATAGTTGGGGGCACCACTGCTTCTGAATTTCAGATGCTGGAAATTGCAGGAGGGGAGAGTGCTCTTGTGCTCAAATCCTGCTTGCAGGATCCCCACAAGAGGCATCTGGTTGGCCACTGTGAGAACAGGATGCTGGACCAGATGGGTCATTGGTCTGATCCAGCAGGATCTTCTTATGCTCTTATGTAAATCTATTGGCACACATTTTCACAGGGGCCAAAAATACCCTTCCCCTGGGAGAGACAACTTGAGCCTCCTTTCCTGGGGGGAATCCAGGTTTGGCAAATTATCTCCCACACAATTGTGTGAGAATGGCATTGTTATCATTGCAGGTCTGTTGGGCCTTTTCATCCTCCAAATAAAGAGACACTCTGCTGGAAAGAAGAGAAGAAACTCACCTGCATCTCCACCGGCATTCACAGAAGCTCTTCCAATTTAGCCTGAGTCCTAATTGTTGTATTCTTTGGGTGTGATTAAACCATCAGTCCTGGACTTCAGGTATCAATCCTCCCGATGGAAAACCCAAGGCGAAGAATCAAATTGCCACTTTGCCCTGTGGACTGAGAATCAAATGAAGAAATTTGCTTCAATGAGGTACCAGGGATTTCTCTCTCTCTCTCTCTCTCTCTCTCTCTCTCTCTCTCTCTCTCCTGGAGTGGAGTCTCAGAAACTTTGCCAGAAAACTTTTGATTCTGATAGCAAATGATACTTGATGGGAAGAGTCAGCTTTTGAGAGATCTTGCATCGGGAAGCACGGTGAATGACTTTGGGACCGTCCTCACCGCTCTCTCTGCCTCACAACCTCACTGGATATTTCTGAGGGGGGAAATGCAGAGTGGGAAGCCCCATATGCTATCCTAAGCCCCTTGGGGGAAAGGTGGGATATTTAATAAATTTCAAAAGCTAGACCAGAGTTTCCTAGGCTCTAGTACTATGCTGAAGGAAATCAGCCCTGAGTGCTCACTGGAAGGACAGATCCTGAAAACTGAGGCTCCAATATTTTGGGCACCTCATGAGAAGAGAAGACTCCCTGGAAAAGACCCTGATGTTGGGAAAGATTGAGGGCACAAGGAGAAGGGGACGACAGGGGACGAGATGGTTGGACAGTGTTCTCGAAGCTACCAGCATGAGTTTGACCAAACTGCAGGAGGCAGTGGAAGAGAGGAGTGCCTGGCGTGCTCTGGTCCATGGAGTCACAAAGAGTCAGACATGACTAAACGACTAAACAACAACATTACTATGCTGAGAGTTCACTGGGAAGAAAGATTAATTGTTAACCACTCTGGGAATTGTATGTCTGAGAGGGGAAAAGGGGAACCCCAACAACTCTTAGTACCCTGAACAAACTACAGCTCCCATGATCCTTTTTTTTTTGGGGGGGAGGAATGTGGCTATTTAAAGCAGCGTCCTAGCACTTCAAACGTATGGTGTGAACATGGTCTCACTTTCATAATAGAGGGAGCACTCCAAAGAGCGCCTTTTCTTGTGAGTGCCCAAGCTCTCTGTTCAAATTAAAGAGAGGGCTGTAACAAAAATCCAACCTCAAGTGCCTGCCTGGGTTTACAGATGATGTGAGAAAAATAAGTTTCTATTAGTAATCCCTTGGCAACAAGATGGAAACCAATGTGTCTTGCTGTTTCCCAACCCTGGGGATGCTCTTCAGAAAAAAGAACGGCCGTGAAAACTTAAAAAATATCTTATTGTCAACTCTGGCTGTAACAGCCAATTAGCTATCCAGTGGTCTAGTGTGCCATAGATATACCATCAATCCATAATGAATATGTGTCCTACAACTGTTCAGAAAGACACAACAAGAAATATAACAGCTGCAGTAACAGGTGGCAAGCAAGTGGTGATTGAAAGAGCTGGATACAGCAAGGAGGCTTTGATCAGCTGACAGCCCTCCCAAAATATTCAGGTTAAAAGGAAGGGAGAGGGGGACATTTATCCTTAGAACAATATAAGAGGGAGTCTGTGATCCAGACTGCATGGGGAGATGTAGCTGGTGGTCGAGGGAATGGTTCTGCCTACAGAGGGTTGG